CAATTCACAATGGTGGCTACTTTAAATGGCACTCATTCAGTGAATTCCGTTCAAAATGATTTATTTAAGTAATATCTTAATAAAATTTGTTTATCAAATCAATCCAGATGGAATACCATATATTGTTAATTCAAGGCATTGCATTCAAAGAAAGAAATATTTTATAAGCCTTGATTTGGAAAAATTTGTTATAGTATTTTTTTAAACCGAAAGATCCATAGCTAGGGTGTGGTAAGTGTCGGTTCCGCTTACATCAATATTTATTTATCATAAAGGAGATTACAAAATGTATAAAAGTTAAAATGATATGCTACAACAAATAAAAAGAGTAAGTGGGTCGAATACAGAGAGCCCATTGCAACAAGTGTGATTGTCTTTGGGGAATACGAGGATGATATGGATCCAAGAGATGTGATAATCTATACCGGACAAGCACGCACGCCCATGTGTTAACCAAAAGCTTGGAGGTGGGAATTTGGCATTGGAGAGAAGCATGTACTATGAGATTGAAGTGAGGGTAATCCGTGGCTGTAAATATGAGGGTAGTGCTAGTGGAAAAGTCTATGTGTATTTTTTTTTGCAAGTAAAAAAAATACACATAGACTTTTCCACTAGTCTATGTGTATGATGGATTATATAAAATTATATGTGTATTGATATAGGAAAGTCTGGTTGTGGAGTGCTCAAGTATAAGCTGGTAAGGATTGAGGGTCAACCGGAAATGGGAAGTTCTACTCTGAAATTTGTTGAGACCCTTAGGGTCCAACCATTGGTTGCAAGGGCTTGAGGGTACCTCAGTCTTGATTCACAAAAGAAAGAGATTGCTGATATTTCTGTACAATGACATAGATGCAAATCGAGAACCTATTTATTATGATTATTTGTTGAAGACCATATTCCCACCACATATATTCCAGCAAGCAGGAACTTGTGCGGGGTGTGATTGTGTCAATGGATGTTCCGGTAATTGTTCATGTGTGATGAGAAATGGTAGTGACTTTGCAATAAAACTAAAACAAAATATGAAAGTTATAAATGTTCTACAAATTTAAAAATACTTCCTTAAATATACGTCCCAGCACGCACACGTCTTTCCGTGCATGTCGCGTGCGCTTTCCGAACATGTCTCGCACACATTCCGCGCATGTCGCGTGCGCTTTCTGCCAGTCTTGTTCTCTAACTTCTATTTTTGCCCCAATTTTTACACAACCGGATCCGTTCTTCACCCCAAACACTAAATATGAGGGTAGTGCTACTGAAAAATTCTGTGTGTATTATGGATTATATAAAATTGTTGACTATTGGGAAGATATAGGAAAGTCTGGTTTTTGAGTGCTCACGTATAAGCTGGTAAGGTTTGAGGGTCAATCGGAAAGGGGAAGTTCTATTCTCAGATTGGCAGAGAGTTATCCAAGAAACTCTGCTGCTTTTGGAGCATCATTTACTGCATTCTCCAATGACTTAAGAACATACTCAAACCCCTTAATAAGCTGGTCTTGACTTAAGATAACATCTTGAGATTTGTACAAATCAACAATAAGTTCCCCAAAAAGGTCCCTCTCATTATCCTTCCTCTCAAAAGAATATGTTGAGAAATGCTGGTGACTTTGCATATGACCACAACGGTATCTTGTTGAGGGGAAACCATTGATATTTGAATGTTGCCCACATTGCAAGTGTCCTATTACGTGTCGGAATAGAGTGAGCCAAAAGGGTGTAAAGAACAGACGAAGTGTTCCGTTCAACAGAGACAGGATGGGGGTTAGGGCATTTGACCATATCCAAGCATTTTATCTGTGAATATGCAGGAATTGTCCTCACAAATGAGCAAGAACATATTTTCAAAACGAGTTGCAATAACATAATATATACTCGTCGTTTTTCAGAGAGATTTGTGGAATGGGGAGATATAACTCAAGTATTTTCTGACTATGTATGCATTTATCATAATATGATTGTCCTGATGTAATAATATAAAATGTAAATATAAATCATAGTAAAAAGTATCTAACAAATAAAAACAATCAGTTTCCCAAAATAAAAATAAATGAAAAGATGGAAGTTATAAATGTTCTACAAATTTTGAAATATTTCCTTAAGTATATGGCACATGCACGTCACGCACTTTCCGCGCATGTTGCGCGCGCTTAGCGCGCATGTCTCGCACACTTTCTGTGCATGTTGCGTGCCCTTTCTGCCGGACTCGATCTCTAACTTCTATTTTTGCTTTGATTTGTTCACAACCGAACCCGTTCTTCTCCCCAAACACTAAACCATACTTAATGAAGATAAATAGATATTTTTCCAACACCAAAGTAATTACTTACTCCCTCCGTCCCTAATAACTTTACGAAGTTTGACCGGCACGAGGATTAATAAAGTAAAAACTTGAGGTTTGTGCAGAGAAGAGAGAATTAACTGGAACCACAAATTCTTTACTTAAATGGGAAGTGACAAAGTTAATGAGACATTCAGAAAAGCAAAGTTATAAGGGACTGAGGGAGTATTTTAATTGTAAATATTTTATTTAAATCCCGTTTTGGATTTTGTGGAATAGTGGATCGATCGACTGCTCTTCAGTATAGAGCTGGTTTTGGAACCCTAATTTGGAGCTTATTATCTCGTTTTTTAGATAGAAATTTTCTAGTCTTGGGTGATGGCTTCTGCTTCTTCTCCGACTAATCATTCCCCAGGGAGCATCGCTGCCGCTGATATCAGCTCTCAAGTCACCAAGCCTAGGCGGTCATTGTCAGCGCGTGGGTCTGATTCTGAACCAGACCCCTTTGAGTCCGCTTCTGGAGCAATACTTCAGTCTCCACATTCTCATCCCACTCCTGACCAATCCGGAATGTCGTCTGATTCCTCTCATTCACAAGTTGCCGCACCCACATCTGGTAATTCATCATCCCCATTGCTCGAGGATGCTCCTGAAGGAGAGAGCTCGGGGAATGAGAATGGGAGTGGGAGCAATGCTGCTTAGAAACCAGTCTGGAATAAACCTAGTGGTAGGTCGGTGCAGTTATGGGTGCTGTTTCCTGGCCTGCTCTATCAGAGTCTACCAAGGCTTCTGCACGATTGGATATGCCTAGAGCTTCTTCATCTTCGTCTCCACATAAGCATCTTCATTCTAACAATGGAAATGCTAGTTCAACTCCAAATCATGCTCTAAACCGCCAGAGGTCTTTTAAACCTGGTGGTGGTGGTGGAAATTCTAGCAACACTGTGCAAGCTAATGGGAGCCTCTTTCAGGTACAAAGTGAGGCCGGTGAAATGGCCCCCCAATATGCTGAAAAATCTGGTAACTCTAGTGCAGAATCTTCTTCTTCAAGAGACAATGTGAAACGGGATGGTGGACAGAGAGGATTTGGATCTCAATCACAAGGTGGAAATGAGCATCAACACCCGCGAAACTCCAACAGAAGGGGTAATGGGGGGCTACGGCCTCGTGGGGATGGATCCTATAACCCTGTCCATGGTGGTGCTCGTGATCATGAGCGCACTAATCAGGAATGGAATCATAATAGGGGGTTTGGTGGGAGAGATGCTCACATCCCTCGACAAAGATTTCCCTCTAGGCCCTTCATTCGCGGACCTCTTACTCCTCCGCCATTTATTCCTCCGACCATCCCCATTCGACCATTCAGCACCCCAATTATTTATCTGGAGGTTGCATCTCCTGTGTTTTATGTACCGCAACCACACCAAGAGTCATTTAGAATGCCAATGTTTACTAATATGCAACCTTTGTTATATCACGCACCGGATCCCCAGCTGTATAGCAAAATAGTAAATCAGATAGATTATTATTTCAGTAATGATAATTTAATTAAAGACACGTTTTTGCGTGGAAACATGGATGAACAGGGGTGGGTTCCTATTAAACTGATAGCAGGCTTCAAAAGGGTTTCTATGCTCACAGACCGTGTTGAAGTTATATTAGATGCTTTACAAGCTTCAGGAGTTGTAGAAATAGAAATGATGGATAAGAAAGTGAGGCGACGCGATGACTGGATGAAATGGATTGTGCCACCTTCTATGCAATATTTGAGTCTGCAGGCTGTTATACAAGACCCTAGCAAGGTTTCGGTTATGTGCCATCTTAAGAGTGTTACATTACATGAGGCGGCTTCGAATGGCAGTGCAGATGCATGTGATAGTAGTAGAGGGTCTTTATCTCAGCAGCAATCTGGAAACAAAATCATAACTGAGGGAGGACAGCCGGCACTTGCAGGAAAGTCTAGTATTAAAGGTGTTGTTGCGTTAGACAAGAGCAATCAGCTTGACTGGCAGGGCCAAAGAATCTCGTTTTGAAAGTACAGGCAAATCTGGAGCATGTTGAAAAGAAGAGCTGAAATGGTTTGGCTAAAAAATAGCACCACTAGGTTTATTTTAGAATAGCACAACCCGCTTAAAAAAATCAAAGACGAAAGTTATAAATGTTCTATAGATTTTAAAATACTTCCTTAAATATACATCACAGCACGTGCACATCGTGCACTTTCCGCGCATGTCTCGCACACTTTCCGCGCATGTCGCGTGCGCTTTCTAGCAAACTTGATCTCTAACTTTTATTTTTGCTCCAATTTTTCCACAATCGCACCCATTGATATTTGAATGTGGCCCACATTGCAAGTCTCCTGTTACGTGTCGGAATATAGTGAGTCAAAAGGGTGTAAAGAACAGAGTCGAAGTGTTCCGTTCAACAAAGACAGGGCGGGGGGTTAGGTCACTTGACCTTATCCAAGCAGGTTCTTTTATCTGTGAATATACAGGAATCGTCCTCACAAAGGAGCAAGAACAGATTTTCAAAATGAGCGGCGATAACCTAATATATCCTCGCCGTTTTTCAGAGAGATGGGTGAATGGGGTGATCTAGCAAACTCGAGTATTTTCTGACTATGTATGACCGTATCATAATATGATTGTCCTAATGTAATAATATAAATTGTAAATATAAATCATAGTAAAAAGTATCTAACAAATAAAAAAAATTAGTTTCCCAAAATAAAAATAAATGAAAAGATGTAAGTTATAAATGTTCTTCAAATTTTGAAATACTTCCATAAAAATATGGCACACGCACGTCGCGCACTTTCCGCGCATGTTGCGCGCGCTTTCCGCGCATGTTGTGTGCGCTTTCTACCAGACTGATCTCTAACTTCTATTTTTGCTCCGACTTTTCCACAACCGGACCCGTTCTTCTCCCCAAACACTAAACCATACTTCATGAAGATAAATAGAAATTTTTCCAACACCATAGTAATTACTTATTTTAATTGTAAATCTTTTATTTAAATTTTTTAAATAATTTCTTAGGCAACACATATATGATCCTTCCCTAAGTTAAGTACATATTTGTTTTATATTTTTAATATTTGAGGTATCATGGTTTACATTTCACAAATGTTGAAGGTATAATTTATACAGTAGAGGAACGAATTAGGTCTGTTATCAAAGGAATGGTGTCTGTTCTCCATCCTAACATCCTGACCACAAAAATCACCCATCTGAGCCAAGCTTTGAGAAGGCAACATACTTGAACCACCTCTGCTGGAAGCCTGGAAGTGAATTCCTTCTAACAGAAGAGCCCATGCTAGGAGCCCGAGACCTTCTAGTAGCTTGTGCATGCCTTCAACTTTTCTTTGCTGCTGCCATTTGTTCTTACTGAACTCAATTGCATCCTTAAACATGAACCTCACCCTGGATGAGAGTTTCACGTTGGTTGACAAGTTTGTCATTGATAGTATAGGAGCAATTTTATCTCAAAACACACAACCAACTTTATAAGTACTATTGTACTAATTAGCATAAGTTTCCTCTTGTAGAGGTCGAATGCATGTGTCAACAAACAGGATGTAGGGTTCATAATCAATGCTGCAATTTTTTTGAGTATGGTAAGATTCTTTAAATACTTTTCTATTTAAAAAAATCATTATCTAGCCTCTATAAAGACATTCAAAAGTATTACACATTGAATTTACATGTACAATGTGATATTCAAAAGTATTACACATTGAATTTACATGTACAATGTGATATTCAAAAGTATTACACATTGAATTTACATGTACAATGTGATAAAAGTTACTTATTTTTATAATGAAACAATAACAATTAAACATACAAGCCTTAGTTTTATAAAATTTTGAGGTTGACTAACATGATTCGACGATATATGAAACCGGGGCTAAGAAAAGGGAAAAAAGATGACCCGGATTCGAGAGCCATAGTTCCTGTGAATACAGAAGAGCAGCTTTCAGATATGGACCATATGACCTATCTCTCGAAGGCACCCTTCCCGATACCCACCTACATATATTAAGCGTCCAATTTCTTTTAAAGGAATCTCATTTTCTAAAATCACTTTGGCAGAGAGTCGTCCAAGACACTCTACTGCTTTTGGAGCATCATTTACTGCATTCTCCAATGACTCGAGAACATACTCAAACCCCTTAATAAGCTGGTCTTGAGTCAGGGTGGGTTGAGTCAGGGTGAGTCTTTACCCTATCCAAGCATGTTCTTTTATATGAATATGCAGGAATCGTCCTCACAAAGGAGCAAGAACATAGTTTCAACATGAGCGGCGATAACTTAATATATCCTCGTTTTTCAGAGAGATGGGTGGAATGAGGAGATCTAAATCAAGTATTTTCTGACTATGTATGCCCATATCATAATATGATTGTCCTAATGTAATAATATAAATTGTAAATATAAATCATAGTAAAAAGTACTCCGTATCAAACAAATAAAAAAATCAGTTTCCCAAAATAAAAAATTGAAAAGATGGAAGTTATAAATGTTCTACACATTTTGAAATGCTTCCTTAAATATATGGCACACGCAGGTCACGCACTCACGCACTTTCCGTGCATGTTGCGCGCGCTTTGCGCGCATGTCTCGCACACTTTCCGTGCATGTTGCATGCCCTTTCTGCCAGACTCGATCTCTAACTTCTATTTTTGCTCTGATTTTTTCACAACCGGACTCGTTCTTCTCCCCAAACACTAAACCATACTTAATAAAGATAAATATAAATTTTTTCCAACACCAAAGTAATTACTTATTTTAATTGTAAATCTTTTATTTAATTTTTTTAAATAATTTTTTAGGCAACACATCTAAGATTCTTCCCTAAGCTAAGTACATATTTGTTTTATATTTTAAATATTTGAGGTATCACAGTTTACATTTCACAAATGTTGAAGGTATATTAATACAAATTTATTTCATAGATCTTTCCCAAAGTTAAATACATATTTTTTTACAAAATAGAAAATTATTTATTTACCATTTCTTGAAAAGTTGTCTGCATATATATCGATATTACTTATTTTTTAAATATCTTTTTTAAACCCGTAAGGTAAATTAAACCACCAAAATCAGTGAGGTAAATGCTGGAGAACATTAACCAGATTTTATAAAAAGACAAGCAATGAGATATATTAATAAATAAATCTTAAATAGGTAAATCTGAAGCCCAAAAGAAATTTTGGTGTTGGGCCGTGACCTGATCAGCTAAAAAGTGAGAGTCCACGTTGAAAGCCAACTCCTTTCCTTTTTGTTCTCAGTAACATTTCCTGATACTCCTTCCATCAGATTGAATGTCGGTAATTTTTAAACATAAAGAATTTCATAAGCAAAATATGAAATTCTTATTACTCGATTAAGCTTTGATTTTAAACTTAATCATGATCAATTATTCAAGTAATCCGATAAAAATAGAATAGTGCAGCAACACTTTTGGCAAGATTTGGAGTGGGAATAGCACAATCCGTTTAAAAAATTCAAAGATGAAAGTTATAAATGTCTATAAATTTTAAAATACTTCCTTAAATATACATCACGGCACGCGCACGTCGTGCACTTTACGCGCACGTCGTGCACTTTACGCGCATGTCTCGCACACTTTCCGCGCATGTCACGTGCGCTTTCTAGCATACTTGATCTCTAACTTTTATTTTTGCTCCGATTTTTTCACAACCGGACCCATTGATATTCGAATGCGGCCCACATTGCAAGTGTCCTGTTACGTGTCGGAATAGAGTTAGTCATAAGGGTGTAAAGAATAGATTCGAAGTGTTCCGTTCAACAGAGACAGGGTGGGGGTTAGGTCACTTGACCTTATCCAAGCAGGTTCTTTTATCTGTGAATTTGCAGGAATCGTCCTCACAAAGGAGCAAGAACAGATTTTCAATTTGAGTGGCGATAAGTTAATATATCCTCGTCATTTTTGAAAGAGATTGGTGGAATGGGGAGATCTAACTCAAGTATTTTCTGACTATGTAGTATGCCCGTATCATAATATGATTGTCCTAATGTAATAATATAAATATAAATTATAAATATACATCATAGTAAAAAGTATCTAACAAATAAAATAAAAAATCAAAATACCAAAATAAAAATAAATGAAAAGATGGAAGTTATAAATGTTCTGCAAATTTTGAAATATTTCCTTAAATATATATATGGCACGTCGCGCACTTTCCGAGCATGTTGCGCGCGCTTTGCGCGCATGTCTTGCACACTTTCCGCGCATGTTGCGTGCGCTTTCTGCTAGACTTGATCTTCAACTTCTATTTTTGCTCCGATATTTTTACAACCGGACCTGTTCTTCTCCCCAAACACTAAACCATACTTAATGAAGATAAATAGAAATTTTCCTACACCAAAGTAATTACTTATTTTTATTGTAAATCTTTTATTTAAATTTTTTAAATAATTTTTTAGGCCGGCAACACCTCTAGGATCCTTTCCTAAGTTAAGTACATACTTGTTTTATATTTTAAATATTTGAGGTATCACAGTTTACATTTCACAAATGGTGAAGGTATATATGTAATACAAATTGATACAATAGAGGAACAGATTAGGTCTGTTATCAAAGGAATGATGTCTGTCCTCCATCCTAACATCCTGACCACCAAAATCCTGCATCTGTGAGGACATAGGTCGAAGACCACCACCCATTTGGGACAAGCTTTGAGAAGGCAACATCCCTTAACCACCTCTGCTGGAAGCCTGGAAGTGAATTCCTTCTCACAGAAGAGCCCATGCTAGGAGCTCGAGACATTCTACTAGCTTGTGCATGCCTTTTACCTTTCTTCGCTGCTGCCATTTGTTCTTCCTCAAGTCAATTACATCCTTCAACGTGAACCTCACCCTGGATGAGAGTTTCATGTTATTTGACAAGTTTGACATTGCATAGTATAGGAGCAATTTTATCTCAAAACACACAACCAACTTTATAAGTACTATTGTACTAATTAGCATAAGTTTCCTCTTGTAGAGGTCGAATGCATGTGTCAACAAACAGGATGTAGGGTTCATAATCAATGCTGCAATTTTTTTGAGTATGGTAAGATTCTTTAAATACTTTTCTATTTAAAAAAATCATTACCTAGCCTCTATGAAGACATTCAAAAGTATTACACATTGAATTTACATGTACACATTGAATTTACATGTACAATGTGATATATATATATATATATACTATGTACATTTTATATTATTTTTTGCAAGGAAAGGAAATTTATTAGAAATTAAATAGGAAGAGTACAAAATGATGAAAGAAAGCTAATGAAACAAAGAAAGCAAGTGAAACAAAATCATTAATGAGCGAACAACCCAAAAAAGCGCAGCAATCAAAGCCCTGCAATCCACGACCAATCAAAGCCCCACAGTAAACGAAATTACCAAGAGTAACAGCATTGACGGCGTCATTAAGTCTCAAAACAAAGATAACTGCTCTGTAATTATAATTTAAGCATTAACAACTAATGTGTTAAACTACCTTGACCCAAATAGATGAAATAGTAATGCAGTACTAGTGGTTAGATAAGATCTGATGGCTTTCAAGCCTCAACTGTCTCTTCGGACTTCTTAGCCGGGGAGCAGATGAACCAAAGGTTGCCATACGGGTCCGTCACCGTGCCAACGCGACCACGCAGCAGCAAGCCTCACCCTCAGAGATTTCCGTTTCAGCAACAGCTCCGGCAGAAACAGCATTAGTAACCGCAGTTTCCACGTCCTCGGTTAGGTCAGAAACGAGGAAAACAGTAGAACTGAGCTTCAGCTCGGCGTAGAGAATGGGAGGAACTTCCTGCTCAGCCCTCCTCTTCGTCTTCATCACACGACTGACCTCCTCGACACCAAATGCGGTCTTGTAGAACTGCACGGCGTCTCTTGCCTTGGAACCTTCCACGAATAGATGCTGCTTGAGAGCGGAGAAGGTGACAGCCTTAGCGGCTCCGTTCTTCGCACCGCCGTTCTGAGCTTCCTCCGCCATCTCTCTCTAGCTGCTAAAAACAAATGACAGAAATGGAGGTAGAGATGGAAAGATTGGATATGGCTAAAAAGAGATAAAGCAATCTGAGATCCATGTACAATATGATATAAATTACTTGTTTTTATAATAAAACAACAACAACATTCACGCCTTAGTTTCATAAAATTTTGAGGTTGACTAACGTGATTCGACAACATATGAAACTGGAGCTAAGAAAAAGGAAAAAAGATGACCCGGATTCGAAAGCCATAGTTCCCATGAATACAGAAGAGATATAGACCATATGGTCAGTGAAAGGAGGAAGTATCCACAGCGTTCTTCCGAGCTAGTCTGGATTAGTGATCTTAACCCAGAGGACAAGATATATTTCCGGAGTGTTGTTCGCCGGACCCGTATGCTATATGATTCCATAAAGGTTCTTTCACTATTGGAGGGTGAGAGGAACATGTATTATGAGATTGAGATCAGGGTAAACAATGGCTTTAAGTATGAGGGTAGTGCTAGTGGAAAAGTCTATGTGTATGATGGAATGAGATCTGGTTTTGGAGTGCTGAAGTATAAGCTGGCAAGGATTGAGGGTTAAACAGAAATGGGAAGTTCTATTCTGAGATTTGCAGAGATCCTTAGGGTCCAACCATTGGTTGCAAGGCCTAGAGGGTACCTCAGTCTTGATATATCACACAAGAAAGAGACTGTGTCGGTTCTTCTATACAATGACATAGATGCAGATCAAGAACCTCTTTATTATGATTATTTGTTGAAGACCATATTCCCGCCACATGTCTTCCAGCAAGCTGGAACTTGTACTGGGTGTGATTGTGTGAATGGATGTTCTGGTAATTGTTCCTGCGCGATGAGAAATGATGGTGACTTTGCATATGACCACAACGGTATATTGTTGAGCGAGTCAAAAGGGTGTGAAGAACATTCAAAGTGTTCCGTTCAACGGAGACAGGGTGGGGGGTTAGGTCACTTGACCTTATCCAAGCAGGTTCTTTTATGTGTGAATATGTAGGAATCGTCCTCACAAAGGAGCAAGAACTGATTTTCAAAATGAGTTGAGATAACTTGATATATCCTCGTCGTTTTTCAGAGAGATGGGTGGAATGGGGAGATCTAAGTCAAGTATTTTCTCCAGTATCATAATGTGATTGTCGTAATGTAATAATATGAGTTGTAAATATAAATCATAGTAAAAAGTATCTAACAAAAAAATTAGTTTCCCATAATAAAAATAAGTCAAAGATGGAAGTTATAAATGTTCTACAAATTTTGAAATACTTCCTTAAATATATGTCACGGCACGCGCACGTCGCGCACTTTCCGCGCATGTTGCGCGCGCTTTGCGCGCGCTTTGCGCGCATGTCCCGTACACTTTCCGCGCATGTTGCGTGTGTTTTCTGCCAGACTTTTTCTCAAGCTTCTATTTTTGCTCCGATTTGTCCACAATCATACCTGTTCTTCACTCCAAACACTAAACCAAACTAAATGAAGATACATAGAAATTTCCCAAACACCATAGTACTTATTTATTTTAATTGTAAATCTTTAATTTTAGCTTTTTTAATTGTTTTTTAGGCAACATGTCTAAGATCCTTCCCTAAGTTAAATACATACTACCTCTGTCCCGAAAAAGGTTCGCCATATTGACTTTTCTTGGTCAATGATGGCAAACTTTGGACAATGATTTTAATCATTATATTTGTATATAATTTATAAATTTTATACTTTTATGAAAATATTTTGAACAAGGAACATTTTGATATAATTTTCATATTTAAACTAATTTCATACAAAAAAAATCATTGGTAAAAGTTGATTGGCGTTGACCAAAAAAAGTCAACTTGGCAAACCCTTTTGGGACGAAGGGAGTACTTTTTTTATTTTAAATATATATGAGGTATCACAGTTTACATTTTACAAATGTTGAAGGTATATGTAATACAAATTTATTTCACAGATCTTTCCCAAAGTTAAATACATATTTATTTTTACAAATTAGAAAATTATTTATTTACAATTTCATGAAAATTAGCAAGGATATCTATATTACTTATTTTTTCAAATATCTTTTTAATATATTACAGATCCAAACAAAATCGCAACCCAAAAGCCTACAATTCAATCTCCGCCCAAAAGCCCAAAATTTGGACTATAAAACCCTCGTCACACCCCTCATCCTATATACGCCGAGTTACCGTAATCTACTCAACCCTCGCCTCCTATCATTCCTGGGCCTCGTTAATTGTCGCTAAGGACCTTAGTCCTAACCATCGGTCGGCGAATATAGTTTGTTCTTCATTGATCGTCGCTCAACTCCTTTAGACTCATCAATGGTTGATGAGCAACTTTGCCATCGATGTTCTTCACTCAGCCCCTTGGCTCTCTAAAATCGCCGGTAAGCACTTTCACCATCCTCAGTCATCGGTAACCATGCACTTACCACCCAAATTCATAATTCACGGTGGTCACTACTTTATGTGGCGCTCAATCGGTGAATTCCGTTCAAATTGATTTATTTAAGTAAGACCTTAATATGAGCAGTTTGTCAAATCAATCCAGAATACTACATGTTGTTTCAAACATCCGCATTTAAGGAACGAAATATTTTAAAAGCCTTGATTTGGAAAAGAAAATGTTGTAGTATCTAATCTAAATTTAATAAATTTGGTAGGTCACAATATTAGAAGGGTGCCATAGTTATGTTTGCCAAATGCCCAAATTCGTCCTTTCGATGGATTTTGAAGAGTTTTTCAATATCATTAGTGTAGTACTTAGGCATGGACCAGGCCGGTTCGTCCCGGCCCAGTACCCGGCCCAGTACCCAGCCCAGCCCGTTTCTATGCGGTACCAGACTGGCCCGGTCGACCGGGACTGGAGGCCCGAACCGGGGGTATTAGGGACGGGCTACAGGGTGCCCATTTGGTGGACCGGTCCGGACGTTTTTTTTTTTACCCATTCATTGGATGTTAGGTGGGTGGGGGTGGGGGTAGGAATAAATTAGGAAAAACAATTTTTTTAAAAAACAGAAAACCTAGACCCAACCCGGTCCCGGTTCTGACCCAGGCCAGTACCGGGCCTTCATCCCAAACCCCCAGTCCCGCCCTGACCCGTCCCTGAAGCCCAGCCCGGTCCTGGTCCTTCCCTAGTAGTACCCATGCGATGTAAAAGAAAATAATTTCCTCATGTCACAAATTAAGTTTTTGGATAATATGAATAATACATGTAGTTTAATATTTTTTCAAAAAAATACGTGTAATGTAATAATTTCCCATATCAAAATCCGATTGTCGTGATGTAATAATATAAATTGTAAATATAAATCATAGTAAACAAATATGTAACAAATAAAACAATTCCAAGTTTTCCAAAAAAAAATCGAAAGATGAAAGTTATAAATTAAATGTTCTACAAATTTAAAAATACTTCCTTAAATATACGTCACGGCAAGCGCACGTCGCGCACGCTTTTCATTTCATATCTCCCACACTTTCCGCGCATGTCGTGTGCACTTTCTAGCATACTTGATTTCTAACTTTTATTTTTGCTCCGAGTTTTTCACAACCTGACCCGTTCTTCACCTCAAACACTAAACCAAACTTAATGAAGATACATAGGAATTTCCCCAACACCAAAGTATTGATTTATTTTAATTGTAAATATTTTATTTTAATTTTTTTAAAATATTTTTATTAGGCAACACCTCTAAGATCCTTGCCTTAGTTACATACATATTTATTTTTTATTTTAAATATTTGAGGTATCACAGTTTACATATCACAAATGTTAAAAGCATACGTAATCCAAATTTATTTCTCATATCCTTCTCAAAGTTAAATACATATTTATTTTCACAGTTTAGAAAATTATTAATTTTCAATTTCAGTAAATAAAGCTGCTTGCATATCTATATTACTTATTTTGGGGTTTCCTTGTGGGGTGCGGCTTGGATTATTTTGGGTGAAGAAACACAAGAAAACATGATAGAGTTGCTTTGGACATGGATTTCAATGGCAAATCTCAAGGAGCAAATTGGCAAGAGCAAATTGGCGAGCGCAAGAAGGATAGGTAGAGTTTCAGACGAATTTTCCGGGGGTTGAATTTCTCTTTTACCATACTACAGCAGCTCGCCCTCCTCCGGAACCACCTCCATGCAGGGTAGCAATTTGGGGAAACTTTTTATTTTCGTATTATTTTCCTTTCGCAGTACTTATTTTTATTTCAGTTCAAGCGGGTATGGTTGGAGTATTTTGATTTTTGATAAACTTTTGATAGGCAGTGTTTCATTTTCGGTCGTTTTAGGCTTCTTCTTGCCTGTTCTTTGTCTAGCGAGTCAGGTTGCTTTGTATGGGTTGCTGACTCTAAGTTATCATAGGGCTTATGATCGGATATGTAATTGTTGTCTGGATTTTGTCTTGCATGTTTGCTCTATATTAATGAAAAGTCATTTTGATGATAAAAAAATATTACTATTTTTTATATATATCTTTTTAATACATTATAGATCCAAATCTGTAAGGGACATTTCTTCCAGCTCAGGTCTCCGTTTATACCCACAAAGGATATCTATTCTACCACTAGGTCACAAGGGAAGAAGTGTGGCAACAGCCACCAAGCTTTTCCGACCAAAATCAGTCTGAGCACCCCCCCAAAATCGGGAGGAGCAGCGTATGACAGGGTTCAAGAGTAGAGAGGATTCGGCCGACCCTAATCACAGAAAGCAAGGCAGAATAAATAAGCAGAGCTCGAAATCCAAACATGGTAACTTGCCAAGAAGAGAAGATTGACAATTTTAATCGTACTGGCCTGGAGAAGGAAAGTATCATGCAAGAGGGAAGGAATCGGCAAAGGGGCCGGGAAAAACAGCACGAATCAGATGCTCAACAAAGTAAGGGGCCGGGTATAGGGAGTGTAAATGCGCTTATGGGAAAGCTGGGCCAATACCAAACACTCTCCACCTTATTGGATCCTAGTGGTGTAGAGTAAAATCTCTAATACAACATTGAGACTCATCGTCCCTGGATTTCCTGAATGATCACAGAGACACATTCAGGCAAAAGGGGTAAAATCACCAGACAACTTATCTGCAATCAATGTTTAACGTGCGTTTGCACGAAAGCAGTTTTTCGACAGAGAGACATTTAGTCCCCATGTCTGCAGGATTAAACTGAGATAGGATTTAATAACCTTTATATGACCTACACTAACAATATCACGTATAAAATGAAATCTAACATCAATATGCTTAGTTCTATCATGAAAAACAAGATTTTTGCACAATTATTGAATAGCAGATTGACTATCAAAAAACACACAAATGTCCTACTTAAGACTACCAATCTCCATTAGGAGATGCTTAAGCCAAATGGCTTCCTTAAACGCTTCGGTAATGGCCACATACTCAGACTCAGTAGTGGAAAGGGCTACTATGGGTGGAAGTTGAACTTCCAACTAATGTAAGACCTGCAAAGAGTAAACACATAAGAGGTAGTGGATTTCCTGTTGTCTCTATCGTTAGAAAAATTAGATTTCACATACCCACTCAACTTAATACCCTCAGAACACCTAGTGAAAACCAACCCATGATTAACAGTAGATTTCAAGTACCTAAGCAACCACTTAAGAGCATTCCAATGGTCTAAACCGGAATTAGACATATACCTACTCAAACAACTAACATCATAGGCAATGTCGGGTCTAGTCAGACATATACCAGCAATTTCAGGAACAGTCTTGGGAGACTGATCCTTACTTGACACAAAGTGAGATGTCATAGGGATAGAGTCGGGAGTAGCAGAATGCATGTTATATTTACTCAAAATCTTTTCAATGTATGAAACTGATTGAGTACTAACACACGCTTACTCCTATCCCTAACAATGTTGATGCCTAGGATCCTTATGGCATCACCTAGGTCTTTGATTGCAAAGTTCTCACTGAGGCGTTTTTGCACACATTTAATGGTGTCACCCGAAGGACTCACAATCAACATATCATCCACATATAGCAATAAAAATACAGGCACAAAAGAAGTGTTTTTAAAGTATAGACAATGGTCGCAATCAGACTTATGGAATTTCAAAGATGACATGCACTAGTCAAATTTGATATTTCACTGCCTAGGGGACTACTTCAGGCCATACAAGGCCTTCCTAAACAACTTTGCCATCGCCGTTTGTCACTCAGCCCCTTGGCTCTTTGAAATCGCCGGTAAGCACTTTCACCATCCTCGATCATCGGTTACCATGCACTTACCACCCAAATTCGCAATTCACTATGGTCGCTACTTAACTTTATGTGGCACTCAATCCGTGAATTACGTTCAAATTGATTTATTTAAATAAGATCATATAATGAATTGTTTATCAAATCAATCCATAATACCATATGTTGTTTATCCAAACAACTGCATTCAATGTAAGAAATATATTTTTTTAATATAAAGGATCGACTTCTATATTAAAATCAGAAAAAGATACTACCTTCGTCCCTTAAAACTTTGTCATCTTTGACTTTTCAAGTCAATGGTGGTAAAGTTTGGTCAATGATTTTGATTGGTATAATATTTGGGAAGTTATAAATTTTATACTTTTATAAAAGTACTTTCAACAAAGAATATTTTCATATCACTTTTATATTATAAATAATTTCCTATAAAAACATATAATCGGTCAAAGTTGAATTTGTTTGACAGAAAAATTCAAACATGACAAAGTTTTAAGTGACGGAGGGGGTACAAGATAAATTCAGACATTTATGACATATCGATTGTGAGCCCTTGGAATAGACGGATTAAGATTATCTTCCATAAGGAAGAGTACCTTACTAAAATAGAAGGCAAGGATTAAAATTCAACTCTCCAGATGTGTGTCAAAAATGGACCCACTCATTTTATGGCATTGATTTTTTGATCTGATGGTTCAAATTGGCGAGACACCCTCCTTGCCTGCCTAAGCAAGACAGAGTAGCTGGATCTGGAATAGACATAGAATCAGTCTCCTCGTACAAGGCAATCTTATTCGCTAGACACGAAACGGACAATTTAAATCATAAAACAATTGAGACTGATATATTGCCTAACAAATGTACACCATAAGTTCAAATTTTCAAACCAAACTTATTGAAACTAAACTAAAAACAAGTACTACTAATAAAAAAATAAAATGGAAATAAAGTCTTTCCACCACAAAAGTCTTCATGGCACGGAGGTAATTCTGGAAAAAGACGAGCTCTATCAATGTCGCCTACGCACTCTAATAGCATTAGCATGTAGACAGGAACCCCTGACCAGATGAAACTAGCCGGGACACCAACAGAACTCCCCACATCGAGAGAGACAAACCACCCGAGAACTCCCCACATCGAGAGGGACAAACCACCCGGAGCACCAGTGTCTGGGAAAGAACCGCCATAGAAAAAAATCAACACAACTGTACCAAAAGAGAAGAACAATCCAATCGAATCATACCTCTACCAAGAATCTCTGAGCACTGATGTCACCATCACATTGTTCGGGTCATTGCATCACTAGATGAAACGAAACCAATAAATTTTGCACATAAAATAAGCAAGGCAATATACGAGGTTAATATCTTAAATTTCTTGGTTATTGTTTAGGAAAGAAAGAAATATATTAAAAGCCTTGATTTGGAAAAGAAATTGTTATACTACCTCCATACCGAAAAATACTCCTCAGTTTGACTTAGCACGTTTATTAAGAAAGTGGGAATAAAGTGGAAATGTATGATTGTGGTTTAGTAGGTAAAAAATTAAATGAATGTGAGTCATACAAAAGTTTCCAAAAAGGGAAATTGAAAGAAGAAGAAAATTGGACATCCCAAAATGGTAAGTGAGAAGAAATTTTTGGGGCGGAGGGAGTAGTATTTAACTAAATGGTAGATACCAGTTTTTGTTAATTTTAAAAGCTTTGCATGAATTATTCTTACATTTACGTACTATTTTCTTTTTTTCTTTTGGCTAAAGGGTCAAATAGGCCCCTTGTACCTGTTCGGAATGCTCCATTCGTACCCTGAACTCAAAAAAACTCCAATTCACCCCCTGAACTCAACAAAAAAGTTCAAATCCAACTTTTTGCAGGTTAATTTCCGATCATCGCCACGTCAGCCGGTTAGATGCCAACCATGCATCCCACGTGGAAATCTAAGGGGTCAAATAGACCCCTGAACCCGACAAAGTTGTTCAATTTACCCCCCTCAACCGTTAAAAAGTGTCCAAATTGCTACTAAAAAATATGAAATTAAAAAATAGAAAATAAAAATATAAAATGATATACAAGTTCATAATATAAGATATAGATGTCTATTTATAATATAAGACGATTTTTATATTTTAGGGTAAATTAAATATATACTTGTATAAACATAATGAAGGTACTTATTTTTAAATACATAATATAAAAATGTAGTAGTCCGTAGCTTTTTACATATTATAATTTTTATATAGTATAAATATTTTATGTTGCATATAATTAGTATGAAGTATAGTACATAGTACGAAGTATATAATTCTAGAATAGAATAATACGAAGTATATATACTGTAACACCGTCCCCAAATATATTTGCTTTTATGTAAATAACTTATTGAACTTTATTGAATGGTTAATGAATTTACGAAGTCGTAAATTTTTGTTATTTCTTTCGCATGAATAGTAAATTGCACGTGGGACCCCACATCGGGAGCGGGGGCCACCCAACGTTCCCGAGACCACATATTTTATTCATCTTGGTCAAGATAATATTTATATAGTGGTGGATATTTCATTTGGGTCGTGGAAAGGCCCAAAGTTGACCGATTGGTCAAAAGAGGCTCAAATACAGGTATTGGTAATCTAACAGATAACAGCCCGAAAATGAATTTCGGAGACTTCCAAATTAAAGTTTTGGAATATATATTATTTCAAAAGGGCATTATGATTGAGAACACATAATATGTTTTATTTTACCCGATAAAATAAAATATATTCAAAACAGTCCGAAAAAATACAACTTTCGGGGGCCGATTGTACACATCGGGACATAATGGGATGGACCTCCCACAAGGGTGGGGGCCACCCCACGTTTTTGTGTGCTCAAACTAATCAAGGAGGTGGCTGAGTTGACAAAATAAGGAGTGGAGGAAGTGCTTTTGGCATCTAAAGTACATAGCTAGAGGGACCCCCCCTCCCTCACTCATTTGTCAATTAAGACAAAAGTGAGCCATCCCATTTTCCCTCACCCCATTAGCTCGACCCAGACCCCAAAGAGAGAGAGAGAGAGAGGGAGAGAGAGAGAGGAGAGAGGAGAGAGAGAGAGAGAGAGAGAGAGAGAGAGAGAGAGAGAGGAGAGAGAGAGAGAAGGAGAGGAGAGGGAGAGAGGGAGAGAGAGAGAGAGAGAGAGGAGAGAGAGAGAGGATGAGAGAGAGGATGAGAGAGAGAGAGAGAGAGGGAGAGAG